ATATTACAAACTTGGTTTTAGATTCTTCTTTACATTTGATTTTTTAGGGTGACATATAAAGAAAATTAATAAAAATTAATTACATAAAAAGAAAAAATCAAGCTTCATTATATATAAACCTGTTCCAGAATGATTTTAAAGATAGCAATTTGAGCAAAGTGATATTGGTTATTCCTTAATAACTCAAAATCAGAATAATTTTTTTTTTTTATAAAAAATTAAAAAATTAAAAATGACCAAAAGTCAGACCATGATGGGACCTAGTGGTCATTGGAGTTGGTGAAAAAAAAAAAAAAAGGTCTTCGAAAAAATGGATTCGAGACAGTGACGGCCTATCTTGACATTAAAATTCCAGGAATTTTCTTGGTTGAGTTTTATGCAAGCTATCTATCTTACTTAGATAATGCACTGAAAATAGGGATAGAAGAAGAAGAAGAAGACACACCAAAAGCCATATTTTAATAAATGGCTTTATGATGCACTGAAATCATATTTTAAAACCACCCCAAAAAAGATTGGGGGACACCCAAAAGAAAAGAAGCATTTTTGAAATGACATGAACTCAGGCAAGAAACCACACAAATCAACAAAGCCCCAGGAGTCAGTGGGGGCGTATATGGGGACACCCCTAAAGGCTTATATACTGCAACGGAAAGGGGTTAGCAAAAGACAAAATGTGTGGAAGTATATCATTAAATATACTCAAAAGAAGAGCCCATGACACATGACAACAACGTTTAGAAGCTATCCAAGTTAAGTCATAAAGACATAATATATAAAATCATACCACCAAAGTTCAGAAGAGACACCATCACTGCTTCTCTGATGCCGCTGCTGCTCTCACTGTTTATTGGGGTCTTCTTTTCCATCGCTTTCATTGCAATCGGCTTCGCTGCTGCTGATTTGTGTGTGTTTTCTTGACGACCCTTTGCAAAGCTTGACTGGATATTTCTTGGCATTCAGCTCCAGCTTCCGTAGAGCTGCTTTACCAAGATCAATCCCACATATGTCAGCGAGCCTAACAAGGTACAGCAAAACGTCTGAGAGTTCTTCCCCAAGATGTTGTTTCTCTTCATCTTTCCAGCCAGGAAGGCCTCTTGGAACCTCCCCTTTCCACTGGAATATCTCAGACAACTCTCCCACTTCACCCACCTGAAGTATTCCAAACAGAAAATAAAAGCCATGAGAAGAAGAAAACACTGCTAGATAGATCTCTCCCCCCCTTGGCAGTCATCAAAGCTGGGCTATTCAACCACAAGATAAACATACAAAACTTCCAAAAAAAAAAAAAAAAAAAAAAAAAAAA